AGACCGGGGGGGGGGGTTGGGCTTTCCAGGGCCTGGAAAGGCTGGGGGGGGATCCCCAACTTACCTTACTTCTTCTTTCTCCTCCCGGCCGACTGAGGGGAGGGCTGCTGGGAGCAGGGGGTGGGGCTTGCTACATGTCCCCACCCCGTGGCCTCCTCTCTGCCGGAGCGTTGCTTCGGTGAGCTCCGGGCCGAAACAAGGCCTGGTTGTTACGGTAAGATGATTATTGAGTTTAAAACTGTGGTGAGCCTTTTCATGCCGACTTTGAACCTCAACGTACAACGCACTTTGATTTTTTAAATATAAATGTCCATCTTTCTTCTCTCTTTATAGATCATATACAAAAGATGGACAGGATAATTTTTATGGAAGTGTATCGATTTATTTTGTCAATTTATATGCTTGTCCTGTGCTCAAGGTTCTTTACAAAATAGTAAGAGCGACCATATTGGGACTTACAAAATAGTAAGAACAACTGTAGTGGGAAGAAATATTTCGTTCATTAACACAGAAATCCCTCCAAAAGTTTGCCGTTGCCTCTTTCCTGCTGTTTCCACAGGAGGGAACCCCAAAGGGAAGTTTGCTCTCGGCCTGGTCCAAAACGAATGGAAGGTTTACGTCAAGAGACCACTCGATCGAGAAGAGCAAGACATCTATCTTCTGAACATTACCGCCACCGATGGGCTGTTTGTAACTCAGACCGCAGTAGAAGTGATAGTCACAGATGTTAATGACAACAGCCCTGTCTGTGATCAGGTTAGCTGGCAAGGCATATTCGTATATTATTTATTTGTGTGTTAAATTCCTGTCTCACCTTTTTTCGTTGGCGCAGTCAGAGCAGCTAACAAAATTATCATTACAAAAAAATGTCAGTAGTTCAATACAAGATTATAGGATACGTTGCTCTCCTGGCCCCCATTGTATTACCACAGCAACAACGAGCAGAAGAGTGATCATATGACAGGTGATTGCTGATGCTGGACTTTGGCTCCTCTGTTGGTCGGGAGTCAGTTAAAGGCAGCAGCGGCCGTGTTAGAAAGTTTTCATCGGCTTTCTCTGTGATGGAACTTACCTCACTGGAAAGATAACAGCCCACTTCTGGTAGATCAATGGGTTTACGACCTTAGAATTTTATCAGCATACATGGCATGTATACGGCAATTGCGTATGGATTGATTTTTAGATATGTGGAAACCATTTATAGAAACCTGTGTGTAGATCCACCACCACTGTTATAATTTTTGTCTTGTCTTTATGTACGTTTTCTTTTCTTTTTTAATCCTACTTAGTAGCTGGATTTTAAGTGCCCCCCCCTTGCTCCTTCTTTTTTTCTTTAGAAAGAAAGAATTTTAAAAAGCTTTCTCTATGATGGACAATGGAAGGCTGTGTTTCCCCCTATATCTGCTGCTGTATCCCATCCTTATATTATATAAGTTTGACTCTCTGCATTTAGGCAGATTGTGAGAGGGAGGACAGGAAGGGATGAGCCAGTGCTCTGCTCTTATGACCCCTTGAGCCAGTTTGGCGCAGTGGTTTGATTCCCCACTCCTCCACTTGCAGCTGCTGGATGACCTTGGGCAAGCCATAGTTCTCACAGAGCTGTTCTCTCAAGGGCAGTCCTCGAGAGAGCTCTCTCAGCCCCACCTACCTCACAGGGTGTCTGTTATGGGGAGGGGAAGGGAGAGGAGATTGCAAGCTGCTCTGAGACTCCGAGTGAAAGGCAGGGTATAAACCCAGTCTCCTCCTCCTCCTCCTCCTCCTCCTGCATTGTGTAGGGCAGTGACGGCGAACCTTTTAGAGACCAAGTGCCCAAACTGTGACCCAAAACCCACTTATTTATCACAAAGTGCCAACACGGCAATTTAACCTGAATACTGAGGTTTCACTTTAGAAAAAACAACTTGTAGGGTATTGGACTAGATAACCCTTGGGAACCTTTCCAACTCTGTGTTTTCTGTGTTTCTAAGTGATGCCATTCACACATTTGCATGTCCTTTTCCAGATTCTACTTAATCTTAATAGTGGAATGCCGCTGGAATTTTCTTCCACTGTGCTCGCAGGTTCCAGTTTCAGCTGAGCAGTGCGCTCACCTAACAGTAATGATGAGGAACTGCATTTGTGACTTTTCTGAAGAAGAAAAAATACAATTCCCTTGTCAACTGCAGCTACTTCTGTCATTTCTTTTTCCTCCGCTAAGGTTACATACATGGCAGTGTTCCCCGAAGATATCCCACCAAATAAAGTCATTCTTAAATTCGGTGCCAAAGACGCGGACATTGGATCCAGCGGTGAAATTCGGTATTCGCTGTACGGCCCTGGGAATAGCAAGTTCTTCTTAGATCCAGAAACCGGTAAGATCACAGGGACTTTTCACAGAGCAGTGGAACGATGGCTGACTCTGTGCAGTGTCATGTATCCCACAGGAGTTCAGTGTTAAATTGTTTTGTAACATAGAAATGATTTACTGCTAGTTCTCATGAGACCCACGCAAAAGGCAACACAAATAGTTCTGGACTAGAAGGCAGCTACATCTTTCTCCTAAGAAAAGGAAAAGGGGTAGTGCTCCTTTCAAGGCAGTATCCTCTACACTTCTGTATTAAGTTGAAGGGGAAATGAGATAACCATTAGACAGGGTGAAGGAAACGACTACTCAGCAGAGGGGCTGTGGCTTAGTTGTAGAGCACATACGTTGTATACGGAAGGCCCCTGATATCTCCGGTTGAAGAATCTTGAAGACAAAGTGTGGGGAAAGGCCGTTGTTGCCAGGGACCAGGGCCAGTTACAGGTTTTTGGGAGCCCCATGCAGAGAGTTTACAGGGAGGGCAGGGAGGGTTGCCTCAGTGCTTAGTTCTCATGGCCCTTTCTTACACGCTGAGGGAAATGCTGATTGCCACTTTGGGGTCAGGAAGCACTTTTTCTGCAGGCCAGTTTGGCCAGTGACCCTGGAAGTTTTTTTGCCATCTTCTGAGCATGGAACAGGGGTCAGTGGGGGTTGGTACTTGTGAATTTCCTGCATTGTGCAGTAGGTTGGACTAGATGACCCTGGAGGTCCCTTCCAACTCTATGATTCTATGACTGCTTTTCACTGTGTGCACCTGTGTTACTGCTCCAGTCATTCCAAAGGGCTGCTGCTTTCTATTCCATCTTGCAAGCAAGTGAGAAAAACCACGACTCCCTTGCAGGCTTTCCTGAAGCTATTCTGAATGGATGAATCTTGAATTTTAATCGGAGCTATCAGTTCTTTTCTGGCTTCTGGTTACATGTGTGTTTATATTTATTGTCGAAACTTTTGCTGTTACTCCCTTTGGGTCCCCCTTTTCGGAAAACAGTCAAAATTATAAATGACTTTTAAAAATCATTTTATTATCAAATAAATAAATAATAATAAATGTCTTAACAGTTAATATTAATAGTAACTAATAGTAATATAGGCTAGGCTTTAATAATAAATGTATACAGTGTATAAAAATCTTCCTAATACTATTTTAAATGTCTATGTCTGAATTTACTCTGATGTTGATCGTCCTTGTTATGAATAAATTATAGTTTATTATAATATCTATATCTCCCCTTAAAAAAATATTTTAGTTGATGCTCATCTGTCCTTAACATTCCCTCCCTCCTAGAACAGTGTTTCCCAATCTGTGGGCTGGGACCCAAAAGCGTGTCATGAAGCCTCCAGGCCAGGCCTCCTCAATAGCTGCCCCTGGACTTTCCACTAGTCTCTTTTTTATTTTGAAAACCAAGATCTGACCCTGGAAACAGTACATTAGTTGGCATTTTTTTCTTCACTGCATATACATGTCGATCAAATAAACGTGTCCTGATGGTTACTAGAGTGTGATTCTTAGACTCTTGGGGGGGGGTGGGACTAGAGACACAGTTTGGTGTAGTGGTTAGGAGCGCAGACTCTAGAACCGGGTTTGATTCCCCAGTCCCCCCCCCCCACATGCAGCTGCTGGTGTGACCTTGGGTTAGTCACAAGTTCTCTCAGAACTGTTTTCTGAAGGACAGTTCTCGGGAGAGCTCTCTCAGCCCCACCTGCCTCACAGGGTGTCTGTTATGGGGAGGGGAGGGGATCGTGAGCCACTCTGAGACTCCCATGGGTAGTGAAGGGCAGGTTATAAATCCAGTCTCTTCTTCTCTTCTAGATGGAGTAATGGAGAAGGAGAGGGGGGCCAAAGGCTGGAATGTAATTTCCGTATGCAAAGGCAGTGTGTGTCAGAATGCCGCTTACTTGGGATTCATAGTGGGGGCAGCCATGCTTTTTGTGCGGTGCTCGTTGGTTTTTCCGAAATATCTGGTTAGCCACTATAGGAAATGGAATGCTGAACCAGAAGGATGCCAAGGACATCGTTTGCCTAGGGTGCCAAAAAAACTTGGGCCAGCCTCGGGTGGGTCACCATACCCAGTACATTTGGACTTACCCGTCACCATATTGAAAAGGTTGGGAGCTGCTGACCTGGTGTATTTTCAGCCCTCCTCAGGCTGGGTTTTTTGTTTTTGAGGGAGAGATTTTTCTATAGGTTATATTTTTCTCCATCCACGACAAGTCCCCCAAGTAGACAAAGACACCTACTTTGTCTATTGGGAGCCTGTTTTTGCCGAGTTCATTGCCCATTCAAATGGATAATAATTTGTTACATTTCAATATGTCTCCCTCCCCGCTTTCCCCATTTAATATACTTTAGGGGAGCTGAAAACTTCAGCTCCACTAGACCGTGAGAAGATCCCTGTTTACAACCTGATGGCCAGGGCAACTGATGGAGGGGGCAGATTCTGCCAGTCCGAACTTCGTCTCATCCTGGAGGACGTCAACGATAATCCCCCAGCCTTTTCCTCTGATCATTACACAGCATGCGTCTACGAGAACACGGCCACCAAAGCCCTGCTAACAAGAGTCCAAGCCAATGACCCTGATGTTGGTAAGTCGATAAGACTGCTAAGAATCGTAGCTGCGACTGCTTCTTAAGCAGATGGAATTGGGCAAGATCCATTTTCCCCTTCCCTTCTCCTTTCAGTTTCCCTTCTAGTTTCTGTGGCCTTTCTTACTGAAACAAAGGTGGCTTGCAAAACTTCAAATTATCCAAGCCTGGAGGTGAATGGGAAACTTGTGAATGCAGATGTGGTTCATATGTTGAAATCTTAGCTTCTGGAATACTAATGACAGCGGCTGTCAGACAGTACCATACACTGGAATTAAATTTCAGCTTGACACAGTGGACGTGGACATTGGTTTCTTTGTCATATCAACAGACTCTTAGTTCTCCACCCTCCCCCTTTCTTTCTTGTTTCAAGTATGGAAATAAACTACTATTTCCTGTGAGTTTGTAATGCAGGCATCAAGTTGAGCTGGAGGTTTTTTGCCCTCTATAAACTGGGTTTCTAAGCCAGGAGTCATCTCTGGCTTAGAAGAACAGTTTACAGGGTCAAAGATCGGTTTACAGGGTCAAAGACCAGTTTACAGGGTCAAACAAATTCTGGTCTACCCAGGCCTACATTCAAATATTGCAGACACTTTGAGTTTGCAGAGAAGACAAGGGGAAGGATGGAGAACCTCCAGAGGAACTGGTTGGCCAATGTGTGAGACAGGGTGCTGGACTAGTTGAACCTCTGGTCTGATCCTGTAGGGCTGTTCTTATGAAGGCCTCGGCCTCTGTGCCCTGTTGTTGGCCGTCAAGAGGAACTAGTTGGCCACTGTGTGAAACAGGATGCTGGACTAGATGGACCACTGGTCTGATCCAGCAGGGCTCTTCGTATGTCCTTATGGCAGAACAAAGAAACCACATTCATGGCCACCGTAGCCAACCGGAGTTTAATTTCCACTTAGTGTGACATCTGTGTAAAGCTAATGTGACTTTAAAAAAACAACAACCTATTATTTAATTTCATTATTCAGACTTTCTCAGATTTTGAAATACAAATGAGACGCAAAATATTGTTATTATTCTTCCTTTATAAACTCTCCTAAAAAGGAGAGAACTTTATTGCTTTTTATATTAGAAAGGGGGGAGGGTATATAGCGGGGTAAAGAAAAGGTCGAGTGATGTTTCCATTAGTTTGTTAGTCTGTTAATATTAGTAAAAAAAAATTCTTCTTTGGCTTCATTGTGGTGGTCAATCGTCTTTCATCATCTCAGTTACGGGGGGGAAAAAAGAATGTTAAAAGAGGAATAAGTAGTGTCCCACTATTAAACTGTTAATAAAAAGCTTTTCAGACACCCTGCGAATTAGTTCTTCCATCTTCGGGCTGATTTCTTCTCCAAAACGACAGGGGAGGTCCTCCTCTACGCTCTCCTCTCCGTTTCACCGCTTCTCTTCCGAGTCATCGCTTTCAGGTCACAGCATGCATTTGTCACTTTGCAACTTCCGATCCGCCTTCCCGATAAAGTCCCAAGCTTCCAGAACAATTTTTTCTCTCTTTTTTTGTCATTCGACTTTAAAATAAACGCTGTCGTTCTCATAGCTAGGTCATTTATCCACATCTCCGTTTTAAGTGCATTTTCCTTTTTCTTCGCTGCTTTCGCTTTTAAGGAACAAGCCCGCAAGAGACAGTCACTCAAACCGGAAGGTCCACCCTTCTTGTTGCGCAGTTCTTACCGACCAACCAGTCGAGAAAGAGGCTTTTCCCCTCGCGCGCCCCGAGTCGGAGCCCCTTCTGGGGCTCGTGCGGGTCTCCGCTTGCGCGGATCCTCCCTCGGCCGCGGGCGGGCGAGACGCCCTCGGGAGCACCCCGAGGATGCATCCGCCATTCGCGGAAGCCGGACCGGAAGCCAAAATATTGTTATTATTCTTTACAGTTCTCTTCTGCTTCTGATCCCACATAGCATGTCGGTGTCAGAATGAAACCGTTCTGCCCACGGGCAGGGAAAAGCTAGCATCAGAGGCTCTTATGGTAATGATTACTAATTCAGGCATGAATCGCACCTTTCACTCTGTAATTTTCGACCTGCCGATCTGAAGCTCTCCATGCTGATTAGCTATTAGGGTCAAAAGCCAGTAACGCCAGATGCTGGTAATGAAACATGACAGTATTGATATGCAGATATTAAAAGAGAGATCTCTTGATTCAGCACTCTGTTAATACAACCATAAATCTTTCCGTACCAAAGACATGAAGCTGTCACCCACCCCTACAATTTGCAAACATGCCCTGTACTTAGTTTTATTATCTGCTTTAAAAGGTTATGTTTATTACAGAGCAGTGGGGAGGAAGCAGAGTTGGGGGACAGTTGGCAGCTTCAAAGGATTCGTTTGGAGAAGTTAATGGATTTTTGTTGTTGTTGAAAAGCCCGAAGTATAGAGATTGGGGAAAATACTTTTCTGGCTTTTTCCATTGGGGGTGCTTGTTTTGCCAAAGGTACATAAATCGGCCTAGCGCTGATGCTGATTGATGAAGCTGCAGCAAACTTGTACATGACTTTCAATATTTCTCCTGCATAGAAAGAAAAAATGTAATTATGAAGAGATTTAAAAACTGCTTGTTGCCCTGATTTGGATAGCCCAAGCGAGTCCGATCTTGTCAGATCTTGGGAAATAAGCAGGGCAGGCCCCCTGGTTAGTTTTTGGATGGGAAGCCACCAAGGAGGTCCAGGGTTGCTACGCAGAGGCAGGCCATGGCAAACCACCTCTGAAGGTCTCTTGCCTTGAAAACCCCACAAGGGGTCACCATAAGTCGGCTGTGACTGGAGGGCCAGAAAAAGAAAAGCTTGTTCAGACCAGCAATGTCAAGAGAGAGGAACTGGGAGGGGGAAGACAGCATTTCGGGGTTGTGGTCACCATGCGGGGCCCATGAAATTTGGCAAGTCATGTGATTTGCTTTTGTGTTTGGGTTGTTTTGGGGAGCTCTGTGCACATGCGGCCCCACAGGGAGTCTATGTCTGAGGGTCCATGATGGCTCTTGGCAGTTCCAGTTCAGACATTTATGAATGAGAGATGATACTAAATCCAGGTACTGGTATATTTGTGCTGGTATGCTTCTGACACGTGGCTTCTGCTGATAAAAGCCCATTTCTAACACGTGTGTGGATAACAACAATGTCACAGTATGGCATAGCAGGTATGACATTATCTTCTCTTATAACCTCTTAAGCCACTGGCTTATCAGTATTATGTTCTTTATCTAGCAGTCGTCTTCCCAGTTTGGTGTAGTGGTTAAGTGCGCGGACTCTAATCTGGGAGAACCGGGTTTGATTCCCCACTCCTCCACTCGCAGCTGCTGGATGACCTTGGGCAAGCCATAGTTCTGTCAGAGGTGTTCTTGAAAAAAAGCAGTTTCTGTCAGAGCTCTCAGCCCCGCCTACCTCACAGGGCATCTGTTGTGGTGAGGGGAAGGGAAAGGAGTTTGTAAGCCACTCTGAGACTCCGAGTGAAGGGCGGGGTATAAATCCAATCTCTTCTTCTTCTAATGGATCAAAATGCTCCAATATACAAGGTACAGAGGTGGCACGGATGCAAGGTTGCCCTACCTTGTGGATAGTCATTTCTGTGAAACAGCAACCATGTGGTTCAAACCAGCTGTGATTAGGATCAGCCCATAATCAGCCTTTCTTAGTTGCAAGTCAAGATGGTAGCCATGTTGGTCCGAGGTAAAAGAGTTATCTGACGAAGGGAGCTTTGACTTTCAAAACCTCATATCCCGAAAATCTTGTTGGACCCTAAGGTAGTACCGGACTCAACTCCAGCTCTTCCAGCAGTGGTTGGTCACGGAATTTCGGCATCCATGATTCTTGTTGTTTTGGTAGAAACCACACAGCCAGCATACCTGTGAAGCAGACCTATTTCTTAAACTAATCTACCATTCAGGGTCATCGTTAGGATGAAATGGGATTGGTGGGTTGGACTGGGGAGGGAGAGAGATCTGTGTGTGAAAGAGAGAAGATCGTGTGCCAGAGGAAGAGGGAGTATGGGTTGTGTTTCCCCGTATGTGTTTCCCCATACATCTTTTGTTTGGTACTCTGTCCCACTTCATCTGTGATGTACAAGGCTGGTAAACCTGCATGTGCTGATGTGTCGTACCAATTTATACTACAGGTGGAGGCTCACATTAATCACTAGGTTTTTTGAACGCAATAGGATAATTAAAAGGTATCAGAAGGTACCTAGTCTACGTTAAGCTGATTTAAACATTTCTTCATGGGGTGGGTCTCCAAAAAGGGTCCAATGTGATGCCTCTGGAAAGCAGATGAGCAGGACATTGTGACAATCTGAGGTGTGCTCTCTCCATCAACACCGAGAGAAAATATTCCAAGTGTACAAAGTATCTCAAACCCATCATATGGTGCGTTCAGTGGGTGTGATCCTACATATCCCATTTTACTGCAGTGCAAGGAGCCCTTCATTGACTCAAGAGGTGCTTCTTAACGGGATTAGGTGAATGATTGTGCAAGATCCAACAAAATCTTTCTCTTTGCTACATCTCAGGCTAGTAATAATGAGTATCCCTTACAGCAAGCCCATACTGAAAAGGAGCTAAAAGGAATCCTTCTAAATCCTCCATGACCAATAAAAGTTCGACCTACCCCAGATTTATGACATACCAGTGCCTCATCTCACATGGGGGCCACTAGGAACTACCGCTGTACAAATAAATAATAGTATTGATGACTGATAAAGCCACCATTAAACTGCCTTTCATTAGTAATGGGTTCTGAATGGCTGGAAATCTGTCCTAGATGTATCAGATTAGTGAATAATGAAATCATCATTTAAATGCCACGTACTTTAACGACTGTGGAATGTCAGGAACACATCCTAGGTGTATCAGCACTGTAAATGGTAACATCATCATTTAAATACCATTTAATCCATAATGACTTTTTCAAGGCTCGATGATATTATCTTGGGTGTATCACGGAGAAGTATTTAAGGAAAAAAAAAATCTCTTCCTCGGAGAATCGGCTGATCTTTCGTAACGCAGTTAGAAGAAGGCTCCACGTTTTCATCTTGCCGCGGCTCTTTATAAATGTGGCCGCAGAAGAGGGAGTCCCCCCGTTCCCCCTGGTGTGGCTATTATACTCGTACTACGTCAAGCCAAAAACAAGTGCAATTTGCTTGGCTTTTGATCAGTCTTTTTCAACAACGTTTCTCTGCCATCATAAAAAAAAAAACCTGAAGTACTGTCACAAATTTTTTAAATTAACTGAGCACGCCTGGAAGGGAGATCAGTAGCTCTGGCATGTCTGATTAATGTCAGGCTTGTAGCTTCTGCTTTCAAACAATAGGGCCGCAGATACTGCAAATCGCCACGGAGAGCAGGGAATCGCTGGCTTCAAAGCATCGTTCTGTTTGCGGCAACGGTCTTTGTTCACTGTTCCCCACCGCTGGGCTGCACAGATGAAAACAACACGGGGAACGTACGTGGCTTTGTTTTGGCATTTGTGCTTAATTAGGTTTCGAGTCGCTGTCCCACGGCAGTGGAAGGAGAGTTGGCAACTGTAGCGAGCTCTCCGTTTAGGCCTACAGTCAACCTCGTCATACTAAACCAGAACACAGCAGCTGGCCGAGGTTGGGTCTCCACTGATTTTGCAAACCTCTCAGCTCCTGGATGTTGTAATCAGGGGACGAGCACCCTAGGCGAAGGACAGCCAGCGAGGCTAACCTTTGAAATAAGGGTTCTTATTGGTGGTTAGGTTTCTGCACCAGATGTATCTCAAAGAAGGCTAAGTCCAAACAATACCGCTTACCCCATGCTGGTTGTGTGGTGATGTCTGGCGTGGGTACTTGCCTCATGGGGTGTTTGCAGTAAATGCTCATTGTCTAGTGGATTTTCCTCTGCCCCCCTTTCTCCTGCTGCTCTGGAGGCCTCTTATCCCACAAGTCATTGCTAAGATCTTTACAAAAGGACCACAGACAGATTCCATTTTCTCAGGTGGTTTGGAACCAGAAGTCTGTGATGTATGATACTAAAAGCTCTGGTCCCTATGAGCAAGATCTAAATACTTAGAATGCTATGGAATTTTAAAAAACATACAAACTCCTTACAGACTGCTTGAGATGGATGATTGAGGTAGCAAGCTACTAATTCAACATACCAAATGTGCATGGTATCTCTTCTAAACAAACAAGTATGTCACCTGAAAATGGAAATCTCCCCATGATCAGCATATCATCTAGACTAGCCCAAACAAGTACTTTCTAGCATTCATGAGCTTTGCTACCTGTGTTGGTCCTTCTCAGTCCATTCCGCGTGATCTGTGGAGATGCTCAGTGCCTGCAAAGTCAGTCATTCATAACTGATAGGAGTGTAAATTGGTTATGCTTTGTTTCCTTTGTCTTATGCAGCTTTTCCCCCCAGGGAGTTCATCATTCACACCTTTTCTTTGGCTCAAGACATCTTGGGCCACTGACAGTTGTGCATTCTGCTTGTCTTCCTGGCTCCCGCTGAGTTTGTAATTAAAATGTTAATAGCCATCGTCAGAATGGGCCGACCACATTTTGGTGCCAGATCTCACCCTTCCCTAATTGTAGTAAAAATAAGGAACTAAATAATTGACCGTTTACTGCACTTCCATAGGATCCCACAACCTACTGCCCGGGGGAGGCCTCCTGCCTAGTGGCGAAGCCAGCTCTGACCACAATAACCTAGCTGGTTATCTAACTTCAGTTGCCACAGCGACAATGTCAGGGGGGTCACTGCAGTTCAGCCTCGGTACCCGAGTGGTTATGTAGCTTTTAGGTCAAGATGGAACAAAATGTCAGCCAGGTGAGGGGGCCAGAGACCGGTGGTGGAAAGTGCCATAAAGTCGCAACGAGGTTGAGGTGACCCCATAGGGTTTTCAAGGCAAGAGACAAACAGGGTTGGTTTGCTACTGCCTGCCTCTGCATAGCAACCCTGAACTTCCTCAGTGGTCTCCCGTCCAAGTACTAACCAGGGCCGATCCTGCTTAGCTTCCAAGATCTGACGAGATTGGGCTACCTGGAAGGGCTGGTTCCAGAGGCAGCAATAATAAGCGGAAGGATCAGATATAAGTGTCAGACTCCCATCGCATCAACGAAGCACACACTTGTAGAAAGGTTTTACTTTTATTTGAAGCAATAGGTGCATAACATGATCACTGTTCAGAATGAAGCATAAGCATGGATCCCAACAGAATATAGTCAATTCAAAAAGCTGAGGCCCAATTGTGGGTCTTCCCACGCGCGCCATTGAGCCTGGGAAGCAACACTCCTAATTAATCTTAACATATTGCTTCTCATGGATAAGGCCATGAGATCACCCAAGCTACTACCCGCCAGCAACCACCTGTGGCCTTGAGAGATACGGGCGTTCCTGCAACTAGGCAATCAAGCGCATAAACAGGCATACGTGGGAAAGGGAAAACAAACAAACGCATACCCATAGAATAGGGAAACATAAGAGCATACACAGAGCATAAGAGCATACTCAGAGAACAGGGAGACATATTGGCAGCTTGCTGACAATAAGTAGCATGCAAGGCAAGCAGACGATCAGGTTCCAGGGGCAGAGTGAAGAGAAGGGTGATGAGCAGAATCTCCTCATAAAGTAAGGAGACAAGTTGCTCACTTTGGAGGGGAGGACCCCGGTGTTGAGGCTACATGTGGCTGAGTACGTAGGCATTGGCAGCCTCTGCCACCTGACTGGGTGTTGAATCAGCCAGTGGAGTTTGTCATGCTTCCTAACTGGCACTTCAGTTACCGTGGAATCCTTCACGTCACTTGCAATGTCATTGGCCAACAAGCTTAGAATCACAAAGTTGGAAGGGTCCAGACAGGCCATCTAGTCCAACCCCCTCCTCAATGCAGGATCAGCCTAGAGCATCCCTGACAAGGGTTTGTCCAGATGCTGCTTAAAGACTGCCAGGGAGGGGGAGCTCACCACCTCCCGAGGCAGCTGATTCCACTGTTGCACAACTCTTACTGTAAAAAAGTTTTTCCTGAGATCCAGCCGGTACCTTCCCACCCTTAATTAAAACCCATCATTGCAAGTCCTCTCCTCTGCTGCCTACAGGAACTCCTCTAAGTGACAGCCCTTCAGATACTTCAAGAGAGCAAACATGT